GCAACTCTTCCCTGGGTCCCTAGCCTAATGGCCTACCCTGCAGATGTTGGACTTGCCAAGCCTCCACCATTGCATGAGCCAGTTCTGTATAATAAATACCTGCCCATCCATCCATCCGCCCACCCACACATCCTGTGAGTTGTTTCTCTGGAGAACCCTGACTCTTACCAGGTGTCTCAGGGGAGTGGGCATGGTGTGGTTCTGAAGTTGGAGCAAGAAGAAACCTGTAGATCGTCCCATCCAGTGGTTTTCAAACTTTTATTTTTGCAGCCTAACTCTCTTTCAGATGAACTCAATGAGGAATCCCAATGATATTCCTTCATATTTATTTAATACTTGTTATATGCCAGGCCCTGTTCCGAGCACTTTGTTATCTCATTTAATCCCTGCAGTTACCGGAGGAAGGAGTCCTGCTGCGTGTCCCATTGTAAAGGGGAGGTAACCAAGGCTCAGAGAGGTGGAGCAATCTGCCCAAGTTCTTACTGGTAAGGGGCAAAGCTGGGATATAAACCCAGGACGTCTGAGCCAAGTGCAAGACCACCACACCATCCTACCTTTGAATATATTTAACTCCTAAAACCCAAGCTGCTTTGGTTGAAGTGAGCAGGTGTTTCAAGGCCTCAGCCCCTTAAGCTTTTCCTTGGATTTCCCCTTTTTCCTTTCCTCTCAGGCCTCTAAAGTAGCTCCAAAGAACACAACTCCTTTCAAACCCATTTGCAACCTCTGATCTAGTCCAGCCCCTCCTTTAGAGAAATGGGAAAGCCAGTCCCAGCGAGGTTAGGTGTCTCACCATGGTCACACAGCAAGGCTGCCTCTGATGACTCCAAGGAGGTCCTCAGACACAGGGGAGAATCTGGAACCCCCGGTGAAGTAACAGAGGAGGAAGGAAGAGCTCCTGAACCAAGGTTTCTCCAAATCCAACCAGTGAGGGCTTCTGGGTAGACTTGTCCCATTAAGGGCTGGATTGTACTCCCCAGGTACATCCCACTCTGAGGAAGCTTCCCTCACCTTCCAGGCTGACTAGAGGCATTGAGAAAGGAGGTAGTCTACGTCTGGGTCTCAGACCAGGTCCAGATGGTAGCCCTTGGGCCCTTGAGCCCTTGAGCTGGTATTCTGGTCTCTTCCATTGAGTTTCAGCCTAGTGGGAGGCTAGTGCCCTTGAGCAAGGCCCTAGACCCCCTAATGCACTGCCCTCAGGACCTGTGGGAAACCCACTGTTTGAAGTAAGGAACTCCTACACATCCCTCAAGACCCAGCCTACATATGCCCACCCTGCTAAAGCCTGACAGGAAAATCTCTGCTAAGTCAGAGACAACCTTTCTTGCATACCTCTGTGTCAGCTTTGCCACCGTGTTCTGAGATCGGCTGGTGGCATGTCTGTCTTCCCAGGTCAGGGGCTGGGTCTTGGCACCAGTACCTGACATAGCATCCAACCCAGAGGGCGCTCAGTTCATCACTGTGCCTGCAAGTGAATCAGCGCCTGCACTGGGAGACTTGTCCAGCCTATGCAGACTCCAGCAGGGAGTTTTCAGGCCCTCCCACTGTCTGGCCCAGACCCTTGTCTGTACATGAGGAAACTGAGGCCTGAGCAGGGAAGTGACTTCTGAAGTCACAGCAGCTGTGTGAGTGACAAGGCCAGAAATAGAGCCCGGGCACTGACAAAGGCCCTGGGCCATTGTCCCATCCACCTCTGCCCCACGCACACTAGTACTCACTGACAGCCACACACAGAGCCTCCGTGTTCCCCACCATAACCCCCTGCGGGGCAAGGATAGGGTTTATTATTAACCCCGTGGTGCATGGGAGGAAACAGGCTCAGTGAGGTAGAAGACTGGCTGAGGACTCACGGTGACCTCATCGCCTATAGATATCTGTCATACTTACACCCATATGTCTCACCACCTTCGTTCTTCATCTGCCTCGTTGGTCCTTGAGTCCTCTCCCTTCCCTGCCTGGTCTCTCACCTCACCCCCTCAGCCATATTGCATTAAACAGTGAAGTGCAGGAGGGTGAGAAGTGGAAGAACCATGAGGTTATGGAGCAGGGTGGCCAGAGGGGACGGGATGAATGCCCCAGCCTCTCAAGTTCTAGCAAAGTGTTCTCACTGCCCCCGCCTGCAGCCACATTCCCCTCAGCAGCGCAAGCTTTGGGAAGACTATAAATCCAGAGGCTTGATGTTCTATACACCCCACCCACCCATCGCCCCAGGTTGCTAATCCAGAGGGTTACCACGTGATAGCCCGAGACTTGAAATGAAGACTGGAAGAGGAACCAACAAACCCTTTGTGTTGGGCTTGGTAAATAAAATGTGGCTTGGATTTTAGTCCACGACTGCCCCCTCAACTAGGGAACCACCCTTACCTGGTAGCCCTGAATGAATGGACGGACAGAGGGAGGGAAGGAAGGAGGAAGAGGTGGATGGATAAGGGGTCTATCCATCTCATGCCACCACAACCTCATGGTTCCAAAGCACAGAGAGTGGGCCCACTCGTTCACTCCTACCAGTAAGCCCAAGTGGTCCCAACCCTGCCCCCAGGCCTGGTGACCCCGGCCCTCTTACTGACGACCCTCCCTTGCTGGGCTCACCCCTGGCCCTTACGTGGCCTAGTCCTGACACCTGGTAGTGCCTCTGGAGTGTGGCCCTGGCTTTCTTCCCACTTCTCACTAACTCACCAGGAGCTGCCAAACCAGCCTGGCAGCTCACTGGCCACCTCACCTCCACGCCAGGTTAACACCTGGCAGAACCAGGTGAAACTGGGGGCATCCCTGCTCACCTTGGGAGCCTTCCATTCACCTGGGGTCAAATTCCCTCCTCAACCTGGACCCTCGAGCCAGGTCAACTGGGAAGCGTAGGACTACAGACTATTACAGAACATCAGGCCAGAAATGTGCCGGCCTCACAGTGAGTGTGCTGGGACTTCCTTCTACCCCACCCGTTGCTGCCTCCTTTCAGCACAGCTGTGGGAGTCACTGGGGTGAAGGGAAGGCACACTGGGGAAGGAAGGAAGGAAGGAACTGGGGGGAGGGTCAAGGGCTAACTTAAGCAGGTTCTCGGGTGGGGTGGTTATACAAGCAAAATACAAAAACCCACCCTCAGCAATTCCTTCCAGACTTCACCCAACTCCCACCCTAAACCACCATCCGACCAGCCAGAACTCTTAGGAGGAGGTTGACACCATGTGGCTGATTTTGGTATTGCAAAAGTTCCCATTGGCCCCTACACTCAACCCCTCTTCCATTAAAGGCTATATAGCCCTTTGCCTATGGAATGCCCTCCACATGCACAATAACACACACTCATTCACACACTTCGATACACCCACTTCACCGTCCGACATCAGCTGAAACTCCTGGTCAGAAGCCTTCCCTCCTCCAAAGAGCATACACCCTGAAAACCCCACACTGGCCTAGCAGCTGTGTGCCTTGCCAAGAGATTTACTTACTCTGAGCCTTGGTTTCATCTGTAAAACAGATGCCATGAGCAATATATGGGAGCATGCATGCAAGCCATCTAATTTTAAGTGCTTCAACAATTGTTCACTAGGCTCTGCTGCCCAGCCTCCCAGCTCCACTAGGACGCTGATATGAAGGGAAGGAAGGAGAGAGTCCAGGTGGAGTAAAGGTGCCAGGGCAGGCAGGAACCCAGCCCCTTTGGCATACCTGGCATACTTGGCATTTCAGGAACTCTGCAAGGTGCAGCTGGTTTAAGTATGGACTTGGGGGATGAGGAGAGATAGGTCGGAGAGCTGGCAAGGGGTGGGTCCTGCCAGGCTCGCAGCCATGGGAAGGGGTTTGTCCTTTGTCTAGAGCAGTGGTTCTCAACCTTCCTAATGCCGCGACCCTTTAATACAGTTCCTCATGTTGTGGTGACCCCCAACCATAAAATTATTTTCGCTGCTACTTCATAACTACAATTTTGCTACTGTTATGAATCATAATGTAAATATCTGATATGCAGGATGTATTTTCATTGTTACAAATTGAACATAATTAAAGCATAGTGATTAATCACAAAAACAATATGTAATTATATATGTGTTTTCCGATGGTCTTAGGCGACCCCTGTGAAAGGGTCGTTCGACCCCCAAAGGGGTCGCGACCCACAGGTTGAGAACCGCTGGTCTAGAGGGTAGTGGGGGCCCAAGGCTTTACCAGGGAACTGACATAACTAGGTCTATATTGAGTCCCCCTGCAAGCTGTCAGGGAGGGTGGATTAGAGAGGTGGGTCAGGAAACAGGAGGCAAAGGGGCCACAGTCAGTCGTCCAGGTGAGAAATGCCGGCAGCCTAAAGGGCTGCAGAGAAGCTCAGTGACTCAGTTGACTGATGAGAAATGGGGGTGAAGGAGAAGGAGGCATGTGGGGGAGAGGGGGCAACTGGGTGGGTCATGGTGTCTGTCGCCGAGATTGGGTACAGGGGTCTCCTGCTGATTTCACTGTGATGTGAGCCAAGACACTGACTTCTGGCATCAGTGACAGCCAAACACCAGGCTATTCTAGGAAATCATCAGAACAATGATTGAAAAGCCTGTCAGCCAGCAGCCTCCTCCGCCACCACCACCCCTAAGTCTGATTGGGGCCTCTTAAACTCACCCCTGAGCTGCCACAAGGGAAGGACTGTGGCTTGGTGTCTTTGTAGGACTGCCGGTGCCAGGCACACAACACTCACACACCTTCCACACACCATCCACATGCCAACTCCACGTGCCACCCACACACCTTCCACATGCCATTCGCTCATGTTACACCAGTCATCCATGCACAGGCTACATGCCATATCCATGCCATCCCTCACATGCCATATACCAGCCACACACATCCACATGCTTGCCATCCGGTGTGCTCTGCATCACCCCCCAAATGAGAACCAGGCACCAGGTGGAGACCCCAAGGAAATCCGCAAAGCCAAGTCCCAGCCTGACTGGGACTTGGCTTTCTCATTCCCAGGCCATCTCATTCCCGGGAAGAAATGCCCCCATCCTCCTGCCCCCTTAGCTGCTCACCTTTGCAGGTGCAACCCTCCCGGGTGATGACCTGCCGGCAGATTCCACAGGGCTTCACCTTCTTGAAGGTCTTCACCTTGAAGTGGTGAGTCTTGGGGGCCTCCAGATCCTCTGGCTGTGGGAGGAAAGGCACAGTGATCAGCCCTGGCAGCAGGCTGGGGTCCCAGGAGAGGAGTGGGGAGTCTGGGGAAGACATAGCAAGGACTAGGGAAAGGGAGAGGCAAGAGCCCTTTCAGGTGTCATAGGCCTGAGCCTGTTTCTGGGAGGAGTGTGCCCAGGGAAAGAGAAAGCTGTGGGTGGGACCCAGACTCCCAGGTGGGGTCAGCGTACTGAGGCCTAGATGACAACTGCAAACCCCAGCAGCAAACCATGGTTTCTTAATCACTTTTTTAAAATTTACTTTATTAACAAAGTACGCTCATTTAAATGTATTGCTCGATACCAATTTTACACATGTATACCCCATGGCCCACACCCCAGAAAGTTCCCTCATGGCCATCCCGTTCACTACCCTCCCCCTCCCCACCCCACCCCCCAAGTAAAGACTACTGTGACTTCTATCACCAAAGATTCACTTTGACAGACTTTTAAACTTCACATGAATGGAATTATACATATGTATTCTTATACCTGGCCTCTTTCGCTCAGTCCTATTCTGTGAGGCTCACCGAGTGGTTGGTTACACAGAGCAGTAGCTCCTCCTTTTCATTGCTGCATAGTACTCCATTGACTAGAGCTTATTCCTTTATCCATCTACTGTTGATAGTCCTTAACTTCTACCCATGTGCACAGAATGCCATGCCCCTCAGTTCCCTCTCACCCTCACTACCATCCCCTGCCCCAGCCCAGAAGTCTTCTTCCATCTTTATTTTTATTTTCTATTCTTAATATTAGGAAGATCTCAATATGTTAAATATTCTATTTAAAGCTATACCATCACACACATGATATGAGAGGCAGTCTAGCAGTCCAAGCCTTCTCTATATCTGACCTACCGTGAGCTCCTGGACCAGTCAATCACCCTCCCACCAAAACCAGGGGCATCACAAAGTGGGGCACCACACCCCTCGAGCTCTGGCTGTCCTTTGTAACAACATATGGGCACACACCCTGGGAGCAAGCCCTGCACCCACGCTGCTAAGAACCACCCTCCTCCCGCCTGAGGTCCCCCGTTCAGAGGACTCCCCAGAGAAGTCATCCCTGCCTGCAGGCTCCATTCCTCTCCGAGGCGCCTCACTGTGGTGTCTAACCTGGTCCATTCCCCTGCTCCAGCAGCAGGGGCCACAGAACACAGACACTGGCAGCTCCCTCCTTCCCTCTCCCAGGCACAGAGCTTCCAACACCGTCCGCACGCACGTGGACACACACAGAGACGCGGTCACAGACCCTGCAGCTCCAGGGAGGGGGATCTGCTCTTCCAAGTCCCCTCTCGCACCCTGCCCCAGGGCCTCCCAGCTCCAGGACAGGGCTGGAGGGGGCAACCTGTCCAGAGCAGGAACGGTGACAGGCTCACACACCCAGCATGTCCAGGACTCCTGTCTGAAGACGCTGTGGTGGTGAGTCCTGGGGAAAAGAGACTGAGCCATGAGAGACACAGAGAAACACAGACAAAATGAGAGAGAGACAGAAAGCCAGAGTAACAAAGAGAGAGAGAGAGAGAGACTGTGGAGGGGAGAAAGAGAGAGAGAGAGAGAGAGAGAGAGAGAGAGAGAAGACAAGACAAAGACAGAGTGAACAGAGACAGAGACAAAGAGACAGACAGAGAGAAGACAGAGAAAAGCCCAGGGAGTCAGACAGAGAGGAGAAAAAAGACCAAGATAAAGGCAGAGACAAAGAAAACGACCAACAAGCCCACACAGAGAACGTGGTAGATTAGATAGAAACACACAGAGACTATAAAGGGAACCGGAGAATCAAAGGGGCACAGACAGACAAAAGGACACAGGAGCCAGCTTGAAGGGGCCCCCAAAGACTAAATCGGGGAGGATCTGAGCATCAAAATACATAAGACAGGAATGGCTTAAATGAACCCATTCTGATATGTGAAATAATTGGATAAATGGGAAGATGAGGAACAGAGTATTTATAAGACTCAAAGCACCTCCCCACATCCCACTTGTAAATTACCAGGGGGAAATGTAACTTTTCCTGGCAGACTCCACTTTATTCAAGTGATCAAAGGTACCGGCACCAGTGGTTGTGTGCCACAGGGGGACACACAGAGAATGAACATCGCTTCTGCCACATTCCTGCCAAAGAGTCACAAGCCCAAGCTAATCACGAGGGAACATCAGCCCAGCCCAAATTGAGGGACAGTCTACCAATCCACGGCTTGGACTACTCAAAAGTGACAAGGTCGTGAAAGTGGAGGAAAGACAGGGTAGATGTCCAGACTGAAGGAGACTGAAGAGGTGGCGACAGCCAAATGCAATGGCTGCTTCTGACCTGGATTCCTTCCATGCCAGGAAGGACATCATTGGCCATCTTATCGGAGGACGAGATGGTAGTCACATATCAATGTCAGTTTCCTGACTTTGATGGCTGTGTTGGGTTAGGCAGGGGAAAGTCCTTGTAGGAACATCAGGGAAGCATTTAGGGGTGGTAGGCATCGTGTCAGCAACTTACTCTCAAATAGCTCAAGGAAAAAGAAGGTCGCCCCAGCCACGCGCCAGGTGGCTCAGTCGATTGGAGTGTCGTCCTGTGCCCCAAAAAGGTTGTGGGTTTGATCCCCGGTAGAGCAACTGATCGATGTTTCTTCTCTCTCTCTCTCTCTCTCTCTCTCTCTCTCTCTCAAAGCATGTCCCCGGGTGAGGATTATAAAAATAAACATATCCTCAGATGAGAATTTTTTTAAAAGGGTCTTTGCATTTCATTTGCAACTTTTCTGAAGTTTGATATTGTCTCAAAATTTAAAGAGACAGGCAGATGGTGGGAGACAGACAATTTAAAGAGACAGGCAGATGGTGGGAGACAGACAGGAGCAGAGGCAAAGCCCGGGGAGAGGTGGGGAGCAGAGAGTGGAAGGGACAGGCATGGGTGCCAGGAGCCCAGCAGTGTCCTCTGGTGGCTGGGCCAGGCAGCAAGGCCTGGGTCTGAGATGCCAGAGAGCTGGGTTTTAGGAGTGGAGCTTCCAGCTTCCTCTGGGGTGGGTGAGCGTGGGAGCAGAGCACTGCTCAGCCCTGGCCTCACTCAGTGTCCCCATGCCACCAGGAGGGGCAGGAAGTCCCTGCATTCTGAGGTCTCACCAGCCTGTTTTCCCATCTCAGCTCCTGGCTGGCAGCCTCCGGGTGATCTCTGTCGCAGACATTCCAGGGAGGGGGCCCAGCCCAATGTCAACTGCAGCAGCCCAGGCCTGGGGTGAGAGGAGGGGCAGGGAGGGGACTTGGGGTTCCATTTAAGGCCTGTGTGGAGAGGCAGGCTTTCAGCTACAGGTCAACCAGCTCGGCCTTACTCTGGCACCTCCAAGCCCGCCCTTCCCACCCCACTACGTCAGGCAGAACTCCCTGTTCCCAGCTTACATCCAGACTTCTCTGCCTACACCCCAAATCCAGATCTTCCCCCAAAGCCCAGGGAAAGAGGCCTCCTCCCAAAGCCTAGCTGGGCCAGTGGAATCTCATGAAAGAGGGTCCTGGCCGCCCCGTGAACAGATGGGGAGCAGGCGGAACCTTCCATGCTGACAAGCAAACTCCGTCTTCTCTCCTGGGCCCTGGGTTTGCCTGCCCAACCCCATAAAATCTGAGTTTACAACATCTCTCCCTGCACAGGCTCAGAAAGCAGAAACAGGGTTGCAGATACACTCCCCCGCCTCCCTCACACCCCTCCCAGCAGCCCCTGACAATGGCCCAGCGCACTGCTGCTCCAGCCCCACCCTGTCCTGTTCTCCGGCTGACAGGACACTGGGATGGGAGTCTAGAGACCTGTGCTCGAGGCCAACAGCCTTGAGAAGATCAGTGGCCTTCTCTGGGCCTTGTGGTCCCAAATGAAAATGAGGGGTGGGCAGAGTCGGGGAAACAGTGGGCCAGTTTGCGATGGAGGGACGGGAAGCTGGGGGCAGGACATGCTGACGTGTACAGAGTGAGATGTCTAATGAGATGCCCCTTCCATGAGGGGCTGGAGGACCCTGGGGGCAGAAAGGAGACAAGCAGGGCCACCCCCGGACTGTAAGGACTCTGCCAGCGCTGGCTTCCCTGGGCACAGAAGCGGTGTCTGGTGACCTTAGTGAGTCAGCCACACAGGTCTGAAGGGCTCCAGGATGATGGAGGAGAACATCTAGGCTGGGTAAGCCTCTTATCTGCAAATACCTGAAGGGGCCGTCATTATAAGGAGGCACCTCAGTGACCTGTGAAGTTACTGAAGGCAAAACAAAGCAGCGGGCAGAAGCCGGAAGGAGGCATGATGAGACACGGGCTGCGGAGAACGTCCCAACAATCACATGTTGAAATCCTGACAAAAAGAAAAACAGGGGTCTGGTACCTATCCTGCCCTGGCCCAGGGCTACTCTGCAGGTACAGGCAGAGGGTGTGAGTGAGCCCGGCAAGTGCAGAGCTCCGTGGCTTGTCATGGCAATGACCACCGTTTTCCTGACAAGTGGCAGACACCTCCAAA